GGTATGTATGTGAAGAAGCACCAGAGAGTCTTAGTAATATTCTTTCAGAATAAACAAACAGAATCAAAGGTATAAACAAATAATGTATGTTTATTTATTTGACTTCAATTGGGGTGAGTTCTTTGCTATTCAGGTTGGTGAATGTTTGTTCGGCTATGTAGTTGATAGTTTATGAGTCAGACTTTGGTAGTAGTTGAGAGTGTGTTTACTTTGGAAACATGTTGCAGACACCATATGCTGTGTTTTCTTGGCCCTCATGAAAGGTGGAAAAATATTTTAAACAGATGACTGCTCAGTTTCTTTATGTCACACACTTGGCTGGTTTCTCTGGTTGAGTCCTCTCTCCTTGCTGTCTTTAGGCTGTCTCTTTAAATACATGTAAGAAAGGCTCCATACTACTTGGTGTGAAGCTTGGTTTTGTCGAATATCAAAAGTCTCTTTGTTATTTTAATTGGCTCAAATTCTTTTATCTATTTCCCAGTGTTCCTTTCTTTTTCTTTTTTATTTTTATGTGTGGAGCCTCTTTTATTTTGGTAGTCACAATAGCTGCACCCTGGACCTGTGAAATGGAAGTTCACTAGTCTAGGTTCTAGTCTTTTTCCTTCTTCCCCTTTTTTATTTGAGGGTTGCCTTCTCATTAGTTGAGAGAGAAGCATTGAAAGAGAGAATGAGAAAAAGAGATATGGGTTTTAAAGAAAGCAAATTATTTGTTTTAATTTGAATTCTTTTTTTAAATATTTTATTTTTAAATTTGGACTCACCATATATATACTTATAAAAACCATTTATCATTTTAGTGACTTGCTTCTGAACTGCGCCAATGTTTTTAAAGGTTTGTGATGTATTTTTAAATAAATAAATACTAGTTTTATGAAACATGCAATTACTTTGAAAAAAAAAAGTTTATGAAGTTAAATAAATATCTCTTGGGTCATCATTTTTTGTATTGTTTTATTTTTATAGCTGCAGAGGAAAACTGTATACAAATTTTTAAAAATATCTGTTTTGTCAGCTTTTTGGGTGACTGTACTCCCCAGCGCAAATACATTTCCGCCAAAATTGGAAGTGATTTTAACTTCTGATTTTATATTCTTCTAGGTCTTTCTTTGTCAAAATAGATATTTGCAACTCAAAAGTGACAAAAATTTGGTCTTATCTTTGAAAAATTAAAATTTTCATGTTAGAATTTTATTACAGAAGTTTAAGAGATAATGATGCCTGAGTTGAGAAATCCTTATATAGTATTTTAGTAACTATTTTTTACGGCAATTTATTTTCAGGAAGGAAACTTAATATCATTAACAAAAGAAATATTTAAAACCAACAATACAGCTGCCTTACTTTCTTTTTACCTTTAACCTCTAACCGTTAAGATATGTCACAATTCGAAGCTTAACTTTCGTATCTGAGAAAATGCTAACAGATATTATATAGAAATAGATAACGTTTCTTATACACTCAAATAGACTTTTTTTTTCTTTTATTCGTCGCCTTTTGGAAACATAAAACACTAATTTTTTGATATTATTGATCGCCATTTCTTTTGGTTGGACCTCCTGACCTCTGTATATAAAAAAAAAAGGTTAAAGGTTGTCGTGATATCTTCGGGAATATTAGTTGAAAGAAAAAGAGAAATAAAAATTTGTAAATATTTTTAAATATAAAAATATTAATAATTTTACAGTTTCATCCATGTAATTTTTTTTTTATTAAAAATATTTCCCATTTCATAAACAATGCGCTGTCTGCCGAAGATTTGCATACGAGGACAGCCATATTTGATATTTACTTCGTTGAGGCAACCAACCTGGCTATAAAAATCGTCGTTCATCCTGTAGAAATACCTATACGTTTGACAATAATCCGAGTCAAAAAATTTCCGTCACGCTTTAGCTGATATATTCTATGGTGATTTAATTTAGTGCTACCTCCTGTCATCGAGGATAAAAAGATTTATTTGGCGCAGACAAAAGATATCTTGAAGGTTACTATTCAATACGGCCACTCTGAAACTGACAGTGCTCTGAGGTTTGTGCAATTTTTTTTTTCTAGGAATATATATTTTTATTTTCTTTCGTTCTTATGATAAAAGTACTTACCCCTAGGAAACCTTGGTTTATTTGAAATTCTTTATTTACTGCAATTTAAATTACTTCGTATTTAGCATTGTGGCTTCTAATACCGCCGAGAATTGATCCCCCACTTTATGAACATGCTGTTTAAAATATGGCCCATAACTCGGGGGTTAATGATTAACGGTTCACCCATTAAAAACTGGTCCCCAACTTATGTCCGGCCTAACTCGTTTAAATTTACACATCTGTAAGTAAGTAGAATAAAAACAATTATTTTAATCATACCGACTCCTTCACCCGTTCTCTGAAACTTCCTTTAGCATTTCCTTGTAAATCTTAACTATTCAATAACTATAGATCGAAAACCCGTGTTTTTTAACTCTATTTTTTTTAAAAATAGAATAAACAGCTGAACTTAATGCTTTCAGTAAAAGCCTCCCCATATTAAGTCTTAAATCCTGTTTAACAAAATAAATAAAAATAAAGGTAAGAAAAATTCTGTCCGACCTTTTGCTCAAAGCTTTTTTTTTTTTTTTTTTAAAGTCTTCTTGATAGGGCCGAGAACTTTCTCTTTAGTTTATATCCCCGTCTCTTAAACTCTAAACATGTTTTAATAAAACTATCTATTAAGTCTTTCTTCAGTCAATTTATCTTGGTATTGAATTATTCACATTATTTCAGGTTAAAAATAGTAAAAGAATTTGTCTAAATAAAATAAAAATAAAAATAAAAAAATCTTAACATCCGAATGCTTTTTCGACCACCGTTGGTCCTTTTTCATGGAATATAAATAAATTTAAAATTTTACATTAAGCTTCCGCTTTTTAATCTATTCATATTCAGTCTTGCGTAATATTTTTTATTTAAAAGTAAAACAAATTTCTACCCTATTTATGCGAAATTGGGACTCTAATTTATGACTAACAAAGTCTGGTGCCGACTAGAAACTAGATACGTTTCACTTGTTAAAGCTTCCGGTAAATGAAATGATACCCCCCCCCCCTTATTTATTTATTATTTTTTTTTCAAAAGAATTGAAGTCTTTCTACACTCCAACATTTCGTGACTTGAAATTTATTTTCAAAACTAAGTTTGTGGATACGTATTTAAAGTTTCACTCTTTAAAAAAATAAGTATCCTTGGTTGCTGAATAAAGGAAGCTTTTTCGTTTCTGTGAAAGAAAGCTGTTAAAAAATAAAATTCGACTCTTATTTGGAACTGATGGATGGAAGTAACGCTTTCGGTTCATAATTTACTGCAGGTTCTTATTTTAAAATAAGTTTTTCATGCCAACTTTCAAAAGAACTAATTAAATGAAGAAATTAGTTCAATCATGCTTCAGTCTTAATTTACTCTTTATTGGTAATAATTTAGGTTGATTGTAAGTACTATATTGGCACTGTGACCGGAAATTAACGTTTGTCATATTACAATGGATTTTTAACAACTCCAGTTCATAAATATAAACTTTTTCCTTTTTGTTTTAAGTCAGTTTTACAATCTGCAATGTGTAAACTGACCCCCCCCCCCCGGGATGGAAACGATCTTTTTATTATCGATCGATTAATCACTCTCTCCAGATTTAAAATTTTCAATCACGTGGTTTAAACATTTTGTTTTGGCTTCTGCAGGAGGGACCGATTTACATGGCAAATTGAACTCCTACAAATTCTTTGTGGTCTGGGTTGCTTTTTTTATGAGAAAAATAAACTTTGAAAAATGTTTGTAGTACCTATTGTACACTATCACCTCAAACTAAGCTTCCATAATGTCTCCAGACAATACTGTTATGCTGTTGAAACTAAATAATACAATATAACACTATATTTAACAACTTTCAACTCGTGTGACCAGACTATAAGCTGATGTAGGCATTGAAAGTTCAGGTTGCTCTGTCAGTTATGTGGGATAATTTTAGGATTTCAAACACTAAATGCAAATTATCACAAATGCTGAAAACTAATTTAAATCAATTATGAAATGCTGTACCATGTGGTAAATTTGACATTGGTGTAGCAACTTGTAGATCTGCAAGCTCCACATCTGGGAGGTAGGTTAGCATCAGATTGACCCTAACCCTCTCATTTTCTAAATGAAATGTGGGAAGGTGCTGCTGACAGGATGTAGTTAATTTTTTCCTGAGGGACAAAATATGCACAACACTAGTACTACTCTAATATCTGACTTTGGTAGTGTTATCCATGTGTATAATTAACTGACGAAATAGAATTATGTAACATGTTTCATTCTAGAAGGAACTTGTTCAATTCTAATGGGTTTTACTGCTTAAGTATTTGGTTGAATTTGAATATTGTGTGGCTAATGTATCAACATTGGCCTACAAGAGACTATCCTGGTTTGTGGCATACTTGGAAAGTGTTTTTATTGATCCAAACCACATGGATGATATTGGGTAGACAAAACTGAATATTCAAAGTCTACTGTCCTTGTTCAATTCCTGGTTACATCTGAACCTGGTTTTTTCCAGAAACTCTAACTAAAGATTGCTCAGCATTTTTTTTTTTTTTTTTTTTTTTTTTCCAGTATAAAACATAGGTTGGCAGTGAATATTGAAATTGTCTAAGCAAGTGTTTGCAACAGAGATAAGGGAGCCACAATGGTAGACTCTATAGTTACCTGAAACTCAAATATATAATCTCAGTACAAACTCATCTGCACAAAACGAGTTATTGCCACTACATTTCAATCTATTTGGGCTTTAAGTTTGTCATGGCAAAACTTAACTTCCTATAGACTTTTTAAATCCTCTCTGCAGTTGTAATCTTCATAGCTTTTCTGTTTATTGTATTGATTAAATTTTATTTGGGAATAGTTTTTCTTGCAGTCTTTATTATTCTTGTAGCTGCAGTTGCCTGTATCAGGCGGATCCCTGACTTTCATCCTACTACACTTCCTGCTGTAAAAATGGCTACCACAGATGAACAGAACATTAATATTGGCAGCACCAACCATGCACTAACTCAAGAACAAAATTCAAGTGTACAGAATGCAAAGTAAGTAGTGAGGCATCTATGGTCTCTTGAATATCATTTCACTCATAATTAAATTAGCAATTTAGTGTTGCATGAAATTTTAAATGTCTTAAGACAACTTTTAGCTATTGTAGCTGCAAATTCTACAATTTAGAAATTGAAGTTGTAAAAAAAAAAATCTTATTTGCAGTGATGGTAGCTGGAAAGCAAAATTGAACATACCTGAAAAAGACCACAGAATAAGAACATCAGTAAGTATCTTCTCCAGCTTTCTTCACTTTTGATGCTAATTGTTTATTTTTGTCTGGCTTTCCTTCTAACTTTTTTCTTTTTCTTTCTCACCAGGATGTCACAAACACAAAAGGAAATGAATTTGAAGACTTTTGTTTGAAGCGAGAACTGTTGATGGGAATTTTTGAGAAGGGCTGGGATAAACCCTCTCCAATTCAAGAGGCTAGCATCCCTATTGCTCTGACTGGGCGTGACATTGTAGCCAGAGCTAAAAATGGAACGGGTAAAACGGGAGCTTATGCTATTCCCATACTTGAAAGATGTGACCCCTGCAAAGATGAAGTGCAAGCTTTGATCATTGTACCAACAAGGGAACTTGCTCTACAAACAAGTCAGATCTGTCGGGAGCTGAGTAAGCATGTTGGCAGCCAGGTCATGGTTACAACGGGTGGTACAAATCTCAAGGATGATATTATGAGACTTTACGATCAAGGTAAGCTAGCCACTGTCACTACATGCCTAGTTTCTAAATATGAAATTCTTCTTGATGTCTCATCTTTTCTTTTTCTATCTTAGTTCATGTCATTGTGGCCACTCCTGGAAGAATTCTAGATCTGCTGAACAAGAATGTTGTTAAAAGCAGCAAGTGCCAAATGCTAGTATTGGATGAAGTAAGTTGTTGTGTTTTTTTTTTTTTTTTTTGCCTACTAACTTCTACTTAAATAGAAAATTGAGTATTAAATCTTTTCTTTTTAAGGTTTCTTAGCTTTTCAAACTGCATTACATTTTGACCTAATTAATGTCAACCCTGAAACCCAGTACTTACTGCATTATTGTAGGTTTTTACTTATAAACATTCAAAAACTGAGGCAGTAAGGATTGATAGGTCTTGAGACCCTCATGGCTAACAATTAATTTTAATCGAAAGTAGTGTTAGAAATTTTTTTTTTTTTTATATAAGCAAGTGAAAGGTTAAAATGTTAATTCTCTAATCTTCATTGTAAAGTGCACTAAATTTCCTCTTGTTTAATAAGCCTCTCTCGATTTCTTTTCTCCAGGGAGACAAATTGTTATCTCAAGACTTTAAAGATATGCTGGATTCAATCATAAACCATTTGCCTACTGACAGACAAGTCCTGCTTTATTCTGCCACTTTCCCTATATCTGTACAACACTTCATGGTAAGTCTTTGCTCATTTCAAATTGTTTTTGCTATTTTAATTTGAATTTTCATTTGGGGGGGGGGCTAAACAACTTGTGCACGTTGTTTGAAATGCTACATTGGAAAACTAACTTGTAAACTTTCAGAGAAAGCATCTAAATAATCCCTATGAAATCAACCTTATGGATGAACTTACCTTGAAAGGTGTAACCCAGTATTATGCCTATGTGAGAGAAAAACAAAAGGTCCACTGCTTAAATACTCTCTTCTCAAAGGTAAGTTGACTCCCTTTTAACTTGCTGTCATTGTCTCGTGTATTGATGTCATGTTGCTAAGTCTAAGATCTTGTTCTTGGCCTCGTCTAGATCAGTGTTTCCCAGCTGATTCTGGGCCATGCCCCACTTTGGTATTTCTAAAATTCTGGTTGCCCCCACCCCCGTAATATTGATTTCTTACATATTCAAAATTTTACTGCAGTTCACATGAAGGAAGCTTAAAGGGCCATTAACTTGGTCTCTAAACAATCCTCCAAAAACCATGGTGTCCATGAAAGAGAAAAATTACGTTCTATTGTTTCAAAACAATAGAACTGAAAGTCAGAAATGTGAAATATTTGGATGAAAGCCGATTCTGTAATATACTTTAATCATTTTAATCATAAAAAATGAAATTTGAGCTCATAACAAAATGATTGTTAGTGAGATCCTTGTGCATCATGCTTGCTACAAATAGATTTTATATTAGGCACAAATAGTCAGCTTAAGCCTAAAGTCTCCTTATTTAGTGATTCCAGCTGATTTTTCTTTAATAACAAATCATTTACAACACTAAAGGCACATTCAGCTAAAGATGAAAATGGTAACAAATTTCTTGCAACAGTGGTTGAATTTGGGTGTTTAGTTTGTCTCCTCACAAAGCCATGCCATCATTCCTTTTTATATTGAATAAAGTTTTAACATGCTCATTTTGCATCTGAGTTCTTGGTACTACATCAAATATCTGCTAGCATTGGCTGCGTAACTCTTAAATCTTTGTTTTAGATCAGAAAGAAGGGTGCACATCCTATGCATACCCCACCAAAATATTACCATGTGCCCCATTTTGGAACTATATATCTAGATGGTGCTTAAACTATCACATAATTGCTCTCAAGATGGCTAGAAATATAAATTTCTATTAGAAAATGTGGGTCATTTTGTTTGGACAGTATTGAAATAATGACTTGTCAGCTGCAGTTAAGACATTCTCTAATGTTCATGTTTGAACATTTAACTTCCTTGAATCTACTTGTCTGTTATAGCAGTAAAATCAATGTCAAGGTAACATGTTTCTTTTCCTTACAGTTACAGATAAACCAGTCCATTATCTTCTGCAACACTGCACAGAGGGTAGAATTGCTTGCCAAGAAAATCACAGAACTTGGCTACTCCTGCTTCTACATACACTCAAAAATGAACCAGCAACATAGGAATCGTGTTTTCCATGATTTTCGTCAAGGTCTCTGCAGGAACTTAGTCTGCTCAGGTAAATCTTCCTTACAATTTTTTTTTTTTTTGCACTTTGGAATTTACCTCTTGTCACATGAGCTGATTCTGATTCTATCCTTCTTATTAGTCATGCTGTAAGAGTTTCATTGTAATGGTTGTTAATTTCTTTCCAGATTTGTTTACCAGAGGTATTGACATACAGGCTGTGAATGTAGTGATAAACTTTGACTTTCCCAAATATTCAGAGACCTATTTGCACAGAATTGGCAGATCTGGTAGATACGGCCATCTTGGCATTGCCATCAACCTCATCACATTTGATGACAGGTAAACTGCTTGACTTAAATCTTTTGAATGCCTTAGTATTGCTGAGGGTTGGGGGCCATAGGCAAATGTTACTGTTTTGAATTTAGTTATCCTTTCCTAAAGACTGGCAGCCAACCATTGCTGGGGGTAGAATTGGATTCATAACTTTTCCAATAGCATTTGCACAAAAATGTATGCAACTTAACTAGGATTCTGCTCTATAGTTTATTGTTCTAAATCACTATCCATTACACTGGCTACACACTCTGTTTGAAGTACATCTCCACTTGGGTTGCCAAGGATGCATAGCTACACTATTAATTTGGCTATATGCTTATTTCAGTTATGTCATCTTGCTAAGGTTCTTGCTAATTTGATTTTTTTTCAGGTTCAACTTGTTCAAAGTAGAAGAGGAATTAGGAACTGAAATCAAACCAATTCCCAAGATTATTGACAAAGCACTTTATGTTGCTGAATATCATATGGAAAAACCTGAAGGACCTGGAGATTCCTGCCAACAGATTTGTGCCCAACAGCAAATATACCCCCAACAGATCAAAAAATAAACACTACAGGCAGCATTGGCTTCTTGAGAGAGAAGATATATGTATATGTGTGTGTGTACGCATATATATATATATATATATATATATATATATATATATATATATATATATGCATGACGTTTTGGACAAGGACTAAATTACTGAACCTGGTGTCTGGCTAATTGATTGTTAAAGGAAATAACTCTACAAGTGTAGAAAGGAAAATTACCTACTATAAGATCTTAGTTTGATTTGGACTCAGTTGCATCAAACCTGCAAGTTAATCTTTGTAGGTCACGGATTTCTGGTGCTAGATAAGGAACTAACACCTTTGCTACTGCAATGTGGCCAGCAAATCTTGGCTGGCTACTTGTGAGTATCTTGACATTTTAATTTTTAAAAAATTTTTTTTTTAACTTTACAGCCAGGTCCCTGACTCTTAAGTCTTGTTTATTCATTCGCTCATTCATTTTTTTTTTTTTTTTTTTTTTTTTTTTTTTTTTTTTTTTTTTTTTTAAATACACACATATATATATCTTTCTCTGCTCTGGTTGCCAAACGACTCAAATTTTTTTTTTTCCTCTCCCCTCTAACCATTTTCACAAACCATTTCAACTTTTTCCAAAAAAAAAAAAAACAGGAAAAGTAACTTTTGAAAATTCAACCCTCATCCATTGATCATCTGAAAATGTAAAAATTTTCTCCATATTGAATCACAAAAAAACAAAACAAACTAACATTTGACAGTTTCTGGTCAGGTTGCAAAGCCTGAAAAAAAAATTGCTGGCTCTCTTAAAGGAAAACTTGGCAGTTAACTAGTCAGCTTCTAATATGTTGACTCTATTTGCACCATCAGCATAGAGGTTGTGAAGTACTACGCACAGTGGATGTATTGAAAAGACTACTTGAACCCAGTGACTAATGCCAGCTTATTCTAAGGTCACCATGGCAAAGCTGGCTTTTTAATTCCTTGCTGAGAGAGAAAAAAAAAAAAAATCTTCTGGCGTTATTTGCAAACTGCAGCTCTGAATATGAAATCAGTCTTGGAAGTGTTTAGCTATATTTGAACTCTGAACTTTAGCTGGTTTTTCTCTTCTCTGAACAGGTAGTTCAAACTGTTAACACTAAACCTCAAAATGGAATCTGGCTAGTTACTAGCCAACTTTCAGATCTAAGATTTCTGCCCAAGCATCCTGAAATGGCTAGTTTTGGTACCCACACCACCATCACTTTTGTAAATACCATGGCTTTTAAGTGTTATGACATGCACAATGAGCTGGTTAAAGTTAGCTGAAACTTAAGAAAAATGAACACCATGTTTTTTCCACAAGAGAACTTACGTAATGTGCATGGACTGTCCCTACAGCTAGTGTATTTTGTAAATTTCTATTTTTGTATCATGCTCACGATTGTCCTAAGTATTAGTTAGGATAAGAAAACACCCCTACAGCTAGTCTTACTAAAGACCCGAAAGCAAGGCTGACAAGTGTTGCTGAGATCTCCACGTGTAGCATGAGCTTAAGTGTAAATACTGTAAATAGCTACCTCAACCCTCATCACTTGAGTTGTTGGGGTGTGAAGACAAAAACCGCCATGTTGTTGGACTGTAGGCAGAACTGGGAGTCTTAAATGGTCAAGTGAAATTGACTAATCCTGCCAGATAAGCAGTCTTGAGTAAACCACTCGTATCTTGAAATATGCAAGCAACTACAAAAATATTTAAAAAAAAAAAAAGAAAAAAATTGCAAACCAAAGAACTAAAATTGCTGATTTTAAAACTCTTGGCAGTTGGTTTTATGGAGTAAAGTAATCCTGGTAATTGGATGCCTAAATTATCCCAGGCGCTATAAAAATTTCTCCTCCTCCACTTTTTTTTCTTCTATACCCCCTCCCCAAACTCCATGTGATGGGGGACACACTATCCCGTCACTTCCCTCTCTCCTCCTTCCATACACACTGGGCCTTCAAGCTCTACAAGGATTCTGCTGGTATATCCATTGGTTTCCTGGCTTGTATCTGCCAATTCTATCAGTGTAATGTAACTGTTGCGTGATACTCAAAGCAACTAAGAATTTTTTTTTTGGTTGATATTGCAACAGTCTTGTCAAGAATATACAATGGCACATGTATTACTGCTTTTATACTGTCACTGCAACAGTTTGTAGTCAAATTTCGCATGAGTGACCCAATGTTTGTCAAGGACTACTTGCTAGTACAAGTGTCTTGTAAGCTTTCTTGACAAGTCGAGGTGGGATATTATTAAAAACAAAACACAAAAAATAAAAAAAAAAATAAAAAAAAAAATAAAATCTGACTCAAATATTCTCTTGCAGAATTAAGATCCTTTGCAGGTAAGATGAGGAAAGATTTAAAATGCTTCTAGGGGCAGCTTAGAAGAAAAACAAGAAGCTGCTAACTCTCAACAATGCAGTTCACTCCATTGTTGAGAGTTCCTGAATCAGTCATAGTATTTTAAAGGTAAAGTCTTCAGCTGCTTCCAGTGTCTGAATCACTGTTCAGCCTGATGGATACAGTAACCTTTTCTTTACTCTGACTGGTAGAGTGAACTTTCTATGATCTTGTAAAGACCAGAGACAATCTCATTACAAAGATCTTAATGTTGATCTCTTCTATGCTAGTCTAATTCTATGCCCATCTTTTCTTTCCCCCCTCTACAGCAAGGTCTTCTCCCCCCCACCCCTAGCAAGGAGATCAACAGACTCCTAATATTTTAGGCCCTTCCCTCCAATGTTCTTAAGGAATCTGCTTTGTCTTTAGCTAAAAGTAACCTGTGAACAAATATGTACGACTTGCCTGGAATTAGACATATATTGTTCCATTGCATTTTTTTTAAATGCATCTGAATCTACTTGCTGTTGTCTTGTGACTTTAAGGAGACAAAGCAAGGATTCCTTAAAAACAAAACCCACTTCAAGTATCTGAACTAGGTAAGGATTTCTAATTTTTACTTGTTGAATGTGAATTTGTGAATGGATAAGTGAAATGGATGCATTAAGTAATTAATGAGAAAATGGAATGAAATTCAGGTTTATTACAATAGTTCAATATACAGATGTATTAAGCAACCTTGCTTTAAATTTGTTAAAATGACAATGCATTGTATTGAAAGCAAAGGTTTCGTATCTGTGATAATTTTTTTTTTTTTTTTTTTTTTTTTCTGGAAAACCTGTTTGAGATTGAACTTTTTTCTTTACTTTGATCTTAATGACTGCCACTTCTGATAATGACCTGGAATGAAACTCAATATGAGACTGGTTACCCTCTTGGGACCAATAATTTGATAGTGGTCCAACTGTTAAGATAGTTTGAAGCCAGTGTTAACTAGTTATAAGCACTTAACATAAGTGACTGTCAGTTTGAAATTGTGAAATATAACTATTAATTTAGGCTTCTATATTTTTAAGTATTTTGTCTCTAGTTCTATTTTTGCTTTACAAGGGGGAAAGGAAACTTATTTAAAAGCTCTTTATAGTAAAGTTCTAAGTTGAATGTTTTTGTTTCTTTAAACACTGGCTTCTAAGAATTTTTCTTTTAAACTCTTGCCCTCACCTCTTACACCTTTTGATGCTAAAACTTCAGTTGAATCTTTTATGTAATTTTTTCTTTTGATTACAAAATCAGCTTTGACACACTTGCACAGGATCTTACAATGGCAGGGATTTTACTAAATTCTCTGCATTCTTCCATTACTGTATCTCTCCTGTTTATTGCTGCCACAAACAGGATTTTATCCTCCTAAGGATTAATTATACTTATGACTCTGAATGGGTGTCATGCTGTTTTTGGGTTTTTTTTTTTTTTTTTTTTTTTTTTTTTTTGTTTAACATAGACCTCTCTTCTGTCATAATTTAGTTATGGCAAATCTGGCTTTTTTTTTTTTTTTTTTTACCTCATGAGTAAAGAGCTATAAAACAAACCTTTATAATGTAGGTATTTAATTCAAACAACACAATCCATTAATTTATTAACACTTGATGCAAACTATTCAAGTACCAAACAATTCTTTATATTGGTATTTGAACAGGTTGTTTGTTGTTTTTTTTGTTGTTTTTTTTTTTTTTTTTCCCCCCTCTCTCGCACACTTGGAGACATGGCAATGTTTTGCCTCTTGTATCTCTCTGGATCTCGAACTGGAGATGATCAGCCAGCAGCCTTACTTATGGCTGCTGCTCTTGTGTAGATCCCATCAGATGCAAAGGCAACAGTTCTTGAAGTCTAGGTTCAGTTATTTCTTTCCCCCACTTGACTGGATTGAGTTAAAGGGACATGCCTCAATGTCCCTTCCACTCACTTCACTAAGTTTCTAAGATGAAATTAGCAAAGCATATGCTTATACCTTAACAAGTATGAAAATTTTATTTTTTTATTTTATACTTCAGAACTGTTTTGCTTACTCCAAGTGCAGTTTATAATCTCCAACTCCCATTCTGCACCTTCTACCACTAACGTCTGTAGTCTCTTATAAGGCTAGTTTAAACTTTCTTTTTATTTCCAAAAGTTTAGGTTTTTATTTTTACCTGATTACAAAAATGTACTACTCTTGCTTGTGGTAGAAGATGCAACAGGATTTTCTTTTCTCCCCCCCTCCTTAAAAAAAAAAAAAAAAAAAAAAAAAAAAAAATTCTAAGGTGACAACTGATGTTAGACAATTTTCTTCACCTCCTAGACCTGTTATTGTGAATCTTGCACAACACCTGCATGCTAGCATTTTAATTTCCTTTTATTTAATTTTTTCTTTAACATCTCAAATTGTCTCAGTTGGTCCTCCTTGCTGATCATCTCCACTAAACAAAAAACAAACCTAACAAGTTTCACAAGGAAATAAGCCCTTTGGAGGCAAAAAAAAAAAAATGTGAAGAGGAACATTTAAATAAAGTGATATCAGAACGTGTCACTAAATTCAACTAAGCTCTTCCTAGTTGAAATGTCTCCTTGTTTAAATGGTAAGAATCCTGCAGGCAAGGGTTGACTCCTTTCAACTGGCTGTTGAAACTTGTTTAATAGTCATCTGAATATTAGTTTTATGCTGAAATAAGTGCCTTGCCTAGAGACCCTGGCACAATTGTAATGAAGGTTACTAAAATGTTAACTGGATACATTTTTTTTTTTTTTTTTTTTCCCCTCCTTTCTTTATACACAACTTTTAATAGAACTTTATTTTTGGTTCTCTTCAAATTTAAGAACAGGTGAAATCTTGATAATCAAACATTTTTTTTTTTTTCTTTATCTAAATTTTAGAATTAATTTCAATTCTTAAGTGAATTCTTGTAAACATTGCAGAGTTCATCAACAGATTGTCAATGAAACCTTCAAAAATTGCATTTGTTCTCAGCAATAAAAAAAAAAAAATAATTCCTGCCTCTTCCATATGTCTTGTTTTATATTTATTTATTTTTTTTTTTTTTTTTACTTCATTACATAGTTGAAGGTAATGAAGCTGCTACCTCTTGTCACAAATGACCCTAAAAATTGAATCAATTGTTCAATGTCAAACTTTAAGTGTATAGGTCCTGGAATATATATAATTCCCCCCCCCCCAATTTCTATTGAAATAGAAATGTGACCTGAAGCATCAATACCTACAACTATTTACACTGCTGCTTGCAACTGTTTAAAATTTTTTAAAGTTCTACATAAATGAAATGCTGAAGATTAATGATTTTTGGCTACCTTTTATATGATTAAAAGTCAATTCTACACTTATTTTGAAGTCCTCCAGGATGGATAGCTTTTAGATTTTCTTGTTATACAAATAACATTTGGTAAATGTTAGAATTGATGACACCATGTCCTGGTTTGCCTCATTAAATTTTTTATGTCAGTTTACCCACTTGGATAGCCATAATGTATTGAATGGGGCACATCTATTTGAGGTTAGAAGAAAGAATTAAGGAAATGTTTTAAAAGGAAAGTACATCCTTTTACAAGTCAAGTCAAATGAACTGCCATTACTCCTACCCAAAATAAAAATAGTTTTGCTTTTTAAACATTGTTCCCAATATTAAGTCAATGTAATGATTGTCTAGAATTTCTAAAGAGGACAGGGATAAACTGTTAAATTTTCACTAATTTACTCACGTTCTGTAATTGTATTACTATATATATATTTATATTTTTTTTTTTTTGGACAATAGAATTAAATGGCAGATACTTTATAAAAAAAAAAAGTTACACTATTAAAGTAAAGTCAGTTTCTGGGATGAGGATATTAGTCAAAATGTAAATAAGTCCCTTTAAACATAAACTGCTGTCTTTCATAGCTCCCCAGGCCAGCCAAAAGTGATTTGCTACTAAATGGAATATTTATTCAAACTCAAAGGCCCAGTGTTTACAATATACATTAATGTCATTGTTTGTTTGTTGATGTTCCCCCCCCCCATCTCTCTAAACCTGCCAATATAAAATAATATAATCTATTTCTCCAAATTTGGTATGTAAATCTTTTTTTTCTCTCTCAAATTAAATCCTAAGATAGGAAAGCAGTCAGGGAATCATGAGTGAAAGCTGTTCAAGTTTTTTAATCAAGCAATCTTAGTGAAAGCAATAAGTTAATGACAAAAAAGACAAAATATTCAGGGTTCTTTAGTTTTATTCCACAAGTTATCGAATGTGTATTTTTTTTTTTTTTTTTTTCCTCCTCGTATTGCTAGTTCTGATGATTTGTTCCTCTGGAAACCAGACTAAGTTGGGTGGAATTTAAAATGAAATCATATTGATGTATTTGAATGCAGACATGACAACTCACTCAAATGGTGGAGAATAAACCCCACAAGAAGAACAGCCATGAACACAATAAAGCCTTTCCTCTTTCTCTCCACAGGTGAGAGAGACCCCCCCCTCCTTTCCTTTGTAAGTTCTTGAATTTCATTCTCCTCATCAAAGCATTGTTTTTTGTGGGTTTTTTTTTTTTTTTTTGTGTGTGTTTTTTGAAAAGTTACTTTAATAAGATTTAATTTCTATTCATTCAGTCCAAAAAGTGATTTCATCTATAACTTTGATACATGTTAGCTAAAATAGGCCAGTTGACATACCATCAGGGTGATATGCAAGGCCTTCACAAAAAGCCAAATGAAATATTTAAAAAAAAAAATTTGAATGGTTTTGGTGCTTTCTAAATTTTTACTAATAATGATTTTAAATTTTTTTTCCTTTTTTTTTTTTTTTTTTAATGATTATGCTCATCTTTTATGAGTAAATTCCATGGTGGTATTGAGGTTTTTTTTTTTTTTTTTTTTTTCCCCCTTGGTGTCATCTTCTTCAAAGCCCTGAGATCCTTGCCCTCCTATCCCACCCCACCCTTGTTTTCCAATAGTCCAATTCATCACTTGTTTGTCCCCCACCAGCCATGACCCGCATTGTAAAAATCACATTGTAAATATGTTTTCCATTGGCTCCCATGAGTTGTAGCGGTTTGTATAGCCCTTCCATTTGACCAGAACTTCTTGGCGACCTTTCCAAACACGTTTCTTCAGCACTTTTTCCACAATGAAAACTTCACCTAGAAGAAAGAAGAAAAAAATATTAATCGGAGCTGGTATGATCTGTAAATTAATTTACCCGGGGGGGGGGGGGAAGAGAGAGAATGTTGAGTGCAATTTATAGAAAGTTAAAAATGAAATTCGATTTTGAGGAAGACCCTTACAATAAATAACTATACTGTTTTGGGTATTCTTAAATACACAAACCACTTACAAGAGAAAAAAAAACTTTTTGCAATAATGAGTTTTATAATTTTACTATAATATAAAGGATGAATTGTAATATTTGATTGTGGACTGAAGAAAGTGGTAAATTTAAAAATTTACCTGATAACCCACACTAGAAATGAATTGATAAAAAAAAAAAAAAAAGGTTAAAGCCAACAACCGTAGGAAGGTTACAAGTTGTGAATCTGTTGAAAGACATTGAGCCAAACCAATAAAGAACTGAAAACTTTGCTGCTCATTGGCAGAAACAAAGATTCCTGGTGGTTATATTTTACGGATTTGAAGACTGAATGGATCTTGGATGGCTCCAGCCCAAAGTTAGATAGGCAAAACTAAAATCTAAATGAAAATAGAGTCTGGGTTTTGAATTGACTAAAATTGCTTTATTTCAACTTGAATTGTGATATTTTAAAATTTAACTTTGTTCAGCTCTGAAATACAATTCTGCTCAGCAGCATTTGTATGTGGTCAATTGTGAATTGACATGGATCTAAATCCAAGGCCAATGGGTTTTGACAAATTTAAAATGTGAATCAAGTGTAGGGAATGAAAGCAAATCTACTTCAAGTGGGTGGGGGGTAAATTGGGAATTGTGGAGTATAGAGACTCTGTTGGGTGTAGTTGAGAATGAGAGTTTAAAGAAGAATAGAATTTTCATTTTTAACTAAATGTCAGAAAATAAGAACAGCAGTTTATTTTCAAACAAAATAAATTGCTTTACAAATATAAGTGATTTTGATAGACTCAAATGTAAATATAAAAAAAAGTTTCATTATATCAACAGAACATTATTTTGTGATGTGTTTGAGGAAGGAACAAGGCAAGCCTTTTTGTAGGCTTCTTTGGAACCATTAGAAAGATTAAAAAGTCTGTTTTTTGTCTATTCCTTCAAGCTTGAAAAAAAAAAGAGTAAATTTGAAAAGCTGTATAAATACAAGTGTGACCCTTGCATAATTTTTCACTGACTCAACAACACTCCACAATGTGTGTCGATTCCTGCTGGCATCAGTGTGAACAAAAATCCTGGAAAGACCCATTTCACAATGGAACAGAAGGTGAAATAACACCAAGGTGAGAAAAGAAAACAAATCCTGTTTTCAATATTTATAGATTCACCTGGCCTAGCAGGTGAATATATTCTTTGCTGTCTTCTCTCATGACAGAATACAGGAACAGATCTTCAATTTGACCAGCAAGAACTCCAACTGCTCCTTTGTCTCTACATCTCAACCATGATTGCCACTCTCTCCAACTGCCACCATGACTTATCTCTATACTGCTGAATGGTGGCCAGCTTCTTTCTCTGTTCACTGTTACTTAAAATGCAGCCTGACTATATAAGCTCACAGCCAGAATTCCTTGCCTTGATCCTGAAAGTTTGAATTTTTTTTTTTTTTTTTTTTAAACTTCCTTTTCTTTTTCCCAAACTTGTGGTTAGTGAGTGTTTGCTTTGAAGTCCTCACATCTAAACTTTACTGGCAGTCATAAAAGGCCCTTGATTTCGTGCGTGTCCTAAGCCAATAGAGTTGGGTGTGGGTCCATTGTGCCATAAAGGAAACCATTGTTTTTAGTTTCTTCAGCTTACATGAGAAATGTGAATTACATAAACAGGAAAAAAAAAACAAAAACATTCAGACTATTTGATATCATACAAATAAATATTTAAAGATAAAACTTGATTAAAAATGCAGCTATTTTGAAAACATGATAGAAACTTGTTAATGTTCGTTCAATCTACTACAGGGAATTGAAATACCTGTTGTAAACTACAAAGTATTGACATTAAATTTTCACTCATTCCTATGATAATAGACTAAGCCATAGATGTGTTCAAATTCTCTGACTGGAGTTAACTTAAGTATTAACAAAGTAAATGTAAATTGATGCATTACATTTTATTAAAAATTAAAGATTTTTATTTTTAAAAGAAAATATATTTGCTTTGACATTTTGGTCTCATGATATAAAAGGATTAACTCAGTTTGTATTTTAATACAATAAAGAGTTGGAATTCAATAATATATAGAGGAATGGGTAAAAATAAACAAAAAACAACATGATTGTTTTGAGAAAAAGCTTTAAGATAAATGAAAATTTAATACAGAACAGGATAGCCCTATCTTCATTAAAAAAAAAACAAAAAAAAATTTTTTTTCCTTTTTTTTAAGTGATCATCATATTTTTTGCAGATCACTGGATTGTCTAAAGATTTCAATTGTCAAGATAAAATAAAAATATAACATGAACAATTGCTGTAAGAATTTCACACTATAAATCTTGCAATGTAAAGTGAATTGGAACATCGGACAAGAATACTTTTGCAAAGATCAGATGATAAATTTAGGAGAAAGTTTTTGTTACTTCATATGTAACATTTACTGATTAATTTTTTTTTTTTTTTTTTTAAAAGTTATGAACAAGTAAACTGATGATCAATTGTATTGGATCTTTCTGGGTAAGAAATTTAACTGTTTTCATATGTATATTCTCCATTTGCATGAAAAATTATTTCAAACAAGAGGTCACATTCTCAGCTTTGAGTGTACTTTCATGGTTTAGGCTCATATTGGGGCTGGCCTTGTGGCAGTTTTAAAACAGTGACAAAGATTTTTTTTTTTTTTTTTGGTCTGGGCCACATTTCATTTTTAGCTTACTTGAAAGGAGGATGGGGATGTATGTAAAGATTAAAAAGGTATCCAAGTATATATATATATATATATATATATATATATATATATATATATACACACACACACAGTGTATCAAAAATACTTTTACAAACTTTGAAGGTTAGTTTATCCAAAAGCTCTCATATCTCAACACAGCAGCTCATAACAAATGTTCAAAAATGTCCTCCGCTTGCTTCTACCCATCGGATCTTTGACTGGCAGAACATTTCAAATACTCCCACACAGTATCAAATGGTTTTGTAGACCCCCCATGACACATTGAAGGAGCATGTCTGCATTATTACTGTCTTTGCATAAACCAATTGCTGTAGGTGGCTCCACTGATAAAATGTGCTGGAGCCCCATCATAATGAACTACATACGTCTTTGTATTAGCAGGGGTACATTCTCTAGCAGGTCTGGAAGTGTGTTTGAGATATAGTCCCTGTAGACAGCTCCTGTAAGATGTTCTTGGAGAACATATGGACCTATCAGACAGTCACTTACAATTCCAGTCCACACATTAATCATAAACTGATGTTGGTGTCCCACATGTATTGTACCATGGGGATTCCAATCCACTCACAAATGTTGGTTGCTTAAATTTGTTATTCCATGATTTCCAAATGTTGTCTCATCTGTAAACAAGACTAATGGATTGGCATTTTGTGCAATAAACCATCGGCAAAAATTCTCCCAGAGTGAGTGATCAGTTCAAAAAAATTCTGCACATGTTGCAAATGATAAAGATACAGGAGTTTCTCTTGAAATACCTTCTATAAGATGTGCGACATGCTAGTGCCATTTGACATGTGATAATACCTGGATAATCACCAACAGCCTGTAGAATCTGTTCTATGTGGTCAGTCATACGAGCAGATCTTGGGTCTTCCTTGATCCATGGTTTGTGGTGCCACAGATCCTGTCTCAGCAACTTGACGATAAACAGCAGCAAAGGCTGGATGACTCGGTTGCCTTCGGTTTGGAAACACAATCTGTTATAGTCATGTAACCTCATGTCCATTACCATTCACATGGCAAATATAAAAATCATATCTGCCTGTTCACAATATAAATATCCTGCCATTGTTAAATGGAACACTTAGTTAAATGACAAATATAACCTAGTCTACATGGCAACACAACGCCTTCTACTGTAAACTTTCTTTAAACTTAATAACTCAAAACCAAAAGATTTGTGCACATTTGAACCTGACCCCAAAATTTGTAAAAGTATTTTTGATACCTCCTGTATACATAGGATAACTTTGACCTTTGTGCCTGCAAAAAAACTGATTGTCAAAAAGGATGATTTTTCCATTGACAACTATTATTTAACTACTCTGCATCCTCAACAATGTTTGTTGTTTTAAAAAGTGATGATTAGAATTGTAAGGAAACCTGAACATATGAAAATGAATTTATACATTTTTTTTGTTCTTGAGAATTTACAACAAAAATATTAAAATAGTGATATCAATGGAAAAAAAAAAACTGACCTTTCGACACTATTGAAGGTTAAAGTTTGTTTGTGTGTGTGTGTGTGTGTGTGTGTGTGTGTGTGTGTGTGTGTGTGTGTATGCATGTATCTAAGTGTGAAAATTCATGGATTAATTTTTTAAGTGCCATGAGGCAGTTTTCAAAAATGGAGTTTACCCCCACAAACCAGTTAAATTCTAGAAAATTTTAGAAATATTATCCATTCATCATGTGACCCCCTTGTTCAAAAACTAGCATACTGATGCAAAAATGTTCAACTGTCTTTAAATGCCATACTAAGCTTAAGTATGTGGTTTTCTTAGCATCAATCTGATTTGGTGAGAGCCAAAGTAATAAAAGATGCCATATTTTAAATTAAACATTGTTTTCACTCTGATTATCACTAAAATCATTTCAAACACAGCTAAAGAGATATGTTAATTATAAATGAAGAAATCACATCTTTTATAAAAAGTGACATCATCAAGAACTCAGCAGCCAAATTTAGCCTAAGATTTTCAGCAGTTTCTTCTTATAGAATTCCTCAAAACAACAGCAAAAATGGGGATACAATTTGAACAATTTACTTTTTTTTTTCAGTCTAAAGGTCCAATAGTGATTTCTGAAAAGGATTTAACCATTTA